TGCCTTGGTGACCTAAAACGGCCCGCACGGTCGGGGGCCCTGCCAGCTGCCCAGACCGTGCTGCTGATGCAGCAAGGCTCAGACACGCGCCTGGGCCTTTTTGGCCCTGACTCCAGTGCACCCAGCCCAAGGCCATGCCTTGGGGACTGCAAGTCCGGAACGACGCTTGAACAGACAAAAATAGGACAGCACATACAAAAATAAATAAATAAATAAATAAATAACTTAAAAGTTTAAATAACTGTAAATACGTGAGTGCTGCCCCAAATGGTACCTGCGGCCTGAAAGGTCGCCGTGGGCCTCCAGGGTGCGTGCTGGATGGCACGCGGACTAGGGGCCCCTCAGCAACCGTCAGGCCCCTCAAATGGGGCCCGTGTGAATGCGCAGCATGTAACAATACAAAATATTAACATTTCCAAGCTACGATTATACCACCTACTTTATGTTGCCGCGTCAACAGGTGAACATGGGTGCGAACAGCTGAAGTGCTCTAACCAAACAGACTGTAGACACATCTCCAAGTATTGTGTGTGTCCGTGAGATGATTCCTAACTCACAATCCTAGCTCAGAGCACATAGGTGGTATTCAGGAGGTCGTGGGTTCAATTCCCCACGTCATCAATTTGGCTCCTCGCGGCCCCTGTAGGGCACTTTCGGTTCACCACCTGAGATAGCTGGCTTTCCCCCGCTAGTGGGTCTTGGAAGGGGGCATGCCCCATTCCATCCATGCTAGGGGTTAGGTTCAGCCCCAAGGGGATAGGCTCAACGTTGGGGGGATAGATGGGCTTGGATAGACCAGGAAGTAGAAAAGTAGGACTCTCCTCTTTATAGTGGGATAGTAGACTAGGGACTAGATAGGGAGGTGTAAGCCCATAACCCTTACCAACGCCTCCACTGTAGTGCATAGATTTGAGTTGTTTGATACTGTTGCCAGATTTGGATTGCCGTCTGATATTGTTCCCGGCTGGGTGGTTTGCTAGAGGATGAAGTGAGAGACATAAATACCGTAGAAAAATACCGCTGTACGAGGAGAAGACAGTTGTCCTTAAAAGAAGAAGAAAACTATCAAAGAAGAAAAAGAAAGAAAGAACCGGCAACTGGTCCATATTGGCATGGGGGTGCAGACTGAGACCAGCTTCCACCAAACAATCATCTTGGTTGTTAACAGGAGTTGATTTGTAACATCCAATTCCAACTCTGGCAATCGGATTTCCATACAAAGACCTAGCCCTGGCCTAATCTTTTGAAGGCCTAGACATGGTTCAGGTGGGCCTAGCCCTAACGATGGAAACATGTTTTTTGTCTTGCAATGCACAACAATAGGCTTCTTAACAGACAATTGAGATCAAACCTTCATCTCAGACACTACATGAAATGAATAACAATGGACATATGCCTAGAAACATAACATGGCATCATGTTCTAAAGCGAGAGCCCAGAGATGAGAAATCTGACCACACCACTGAAACATTGTTTGACGTCTTCAAAAGGACTATACCTCCTCAGCCCTCATGTTTCGATACTCCTGGGTTATGTCCTCTGCAGCTGAAATCCATTGTGACTGCTTCTGAACAGTCGCGGCAGCCACCTCCAGAAATCGTCTTCGTTCAAGAGCTATCCTCCCCTGCACACATCAGATTGTGCACACTATTCTCAGAAGTATGGAATTGTCATACCCAGTCCCGGAGCAGCTCACCATATGTACTACTGTAAGCACTCGTAACAATTCCACATGAAAAAAAAAACTAACCATTCAATAGCTCCATCAAATAAATAGTATCATCCACTAGAGACAAGATGAAAATAAGAGGTTAACAAGGGCCAAACACAGAAGGAACAGAAACAACAAAGAAAAAGCAAAAGGATCTGAATACAGGTAATGGTCTACAAGTTCAGACGCCTGCAAACCAGACTTGCAGCGCATCCCGTGCGCGGAGTCGAGGCATATGTGGCGCAGAGCGCATGCGCATGCACACGCATGCACATGATGCGGCACATCACCAAAAAGAAAAAAAAAAAAAAAAAATGAAAGGACAGGGCGGGGTGGCCAAGCATGCCCCTCACTTCCGAAAATCAAGAGGGAAAAAAGCATGGCAACCAGCCGGACGTCCGGACCATAATCCAGACGGTCCAGTTGTCTGGTATGTCCAGTGACTGGTCCGGTAGGTCTGGATTGGGCCCAATTTTGAAAATTTCGAATTTTTTTTGGGGGGGTCCTAGGACGTTTTTCGGGTCCTAGGCTGCCCTCAAAAAATGCCCCCGGTATTTTTTGACCGTTTCATGGCCTACCGGATGCCGCCAGACGTTTCCAACAGCTCCCTCTGCTGAGTCCAACTCCAAAAATGAAGCGCTGATAAAAAGTGCCACAGAACATCAAGCGAGAGAGAGAGAGAGAGAGAGAGAGAGAGAGAGAGAGAGAGAGAGAGAGAGAGAGAGATGATATTCGTCAGATCTGAGATCCCGTCTTAGATCTGGTCCTGACCAGATCTCAGATCTGTTCTTCCGCAGATCTGAATGACTTAACAGTTTAAATTTTCAATTTTACAGTTGTTACGATCCTGGCCAATTTCGAAGTATACAAACATCAGAAAGTTCAATGCTGTCCAATTGCAAAAAGAAATGAATGAACTTGAGAGGAGAGAGAGGAAAAGAAGAAGAAGAAGAAGAAGAAAGAAAGAAAGAAGAAGAAGATGATGTACTCCAGCATAGACCAATGACAAGGCTCTTCTTCCCCGCCAACCAATCTCCTCCTCCTTACCTCCACAGGCATGCACACATACAGACTTAGAAACACAGCAGAATGCGGGAATCTCAGCAAGGCATCCATTCCATCGGCAGAACTTCAGAAATCAGCAGTGTTCTCAGTCTGTGTTATGGCGGGTCATTACACTACCCCCCCATCAAGAGCGAGGTCCCTTCGAGCGAGTAACTCAATCAGAGTCCTTGCATAATACATCATAAGCGTAAATATCAAAGAGAGATCGGGTATGTACCGTAGGAGTGAGGGTAGCAGTGAATTTAGGCTGGTGTTCAGAACTAGTCAATCTTTCATAGGCGTTGACTACTCGCAGGCCGCTCTGCAGCAAGTCTTTCTTAGCGATCCAGTAAAAGTCATTCAACGGGTGGTACAGAAAATGGACTTTGTACTATCTGTTTCTTCCCTTTCCACTGTGCTCGACAATTCTATCAACCTTGTGACCGCCATTGATTGCGCGGGGAATCATTGATTCTCGATACGGAAAAGTTTCAGGTAGTTCATACGGAAACAACTTCGACGCATGAAAGACTGGGTACGTGCACAGATGAGTAGGCACGTCAATCGTGTAAGAAGGACCAAAGGAATCATCTCCTACTCAGTTCAGCACTTTCCACGGACTGTAATACTGAGGAAGAAGCTTCCATGATATACACCTTCTTCTTCAGAAAACTCAGACATCTTAACCCAAACATAACTTCCCACTGTGAAAGGGTCAGGCTGGCGCTTTTTGTTTGCATGCTTAATCATGGCACTGCGTCGCCTTTCCATAGCTGCGACAACAACTTTGAGCAAACGACCAAACTTTGCGCTGTAGCCTGGCTGGCCAGGTGTCAGGCCAGGTGGGTGTTCAGAAAACAGATAGGATAGAGGATTGCGAATTTTCCACCCCAGGTACAACCGATTAGGTGTCATCCCGCTGGAGGAGTGTATGGAGTTCTTGTAAAACCCCTGCACAATCGGCAACTCCTCATCCCAGGAGTTCTGATCAGGCTCAATTAGAGCTCGGAGAAGTTGGATCACAGTCTGGTTGATCTCCTCGGCCAGGCCATTGGCTTCGGGATGTTGACCAGATGTCATCTTCAGTTTGATGTCATAGATCTGGGAGGTGAAGTCCTTCCAATCTGCTACTATGAACCTAGTGTCCCGGTCACTCACAAGAGTTTTCGGGGGCCCACACTGCAGAATGTACTTCTTATGAAACTCTTTGATCACAAGGTCAGTTGGGGCGTGAGGTGGTAATGGAACAAGATTCAGAAATTTTGAAAAGCGGTCAACGATCACCATTACTTGCGAATATCCATTCCTACTCTTTGTCCCCATGTCCGTGAAGTCGATGGAAAGAGACTCACCCGGGCCATCAGGAATAGGAAGAGCATGCAGCAGCCCATAGGGCTTTTGCCGAGATGGTTTGATGCGTTGATAGACTTCACACTCAGCCACAAACTTTCGTGCCATTCCTTTCATTCCAGGCCATACAAACTTATACAGCAGACTTCAGTATGTTTTCTCAAAACCGAAGTGTCCACTCCGGCCATGAGCCCAAGTCCAGGAAGTGAAAGGATCGGCTCATGGTCATGTACACAAAGTCGGTCGTGCTTCCCGTAACGTCAGAAAAGTAAGCCCTTGCACTCGTGGAAGTCAGGCTGACTGCTAGGGTCAGCCCGAATCTGCTCAAGGATGGGACTGAGTTCCGGTGTCGAGACTGGTGAGTCCCGAATAACTTCTCATCACTCGAGAGACTGAATATGGGCAAACTGTGCACAACAAAGAAATCTGGAGTGAGGAGGCAGGAGAGAGAAAAGACAAACGATTAGGCCGCAAGAGGGAGTGATGCCCTGGGGTGAGAACCACAGGAGAAAAGAACTAGCGACGACAAGCAAGTGAGCGCAAGAACAAGGGCACATAGAACATAGCATGAGGCCGGGAGGGTCGTTGGAATGCAATAAGCCTAAGGCCAAAGGGCCCTTGAACCAGCAAAAGCAGCACGGCAGCGATAAAGGAATGAGGGAGTCGAGGGATAAGCGGCCCAGAGGCCGCAGGAAGATAGAGAACGAGGGGTCAACATGGGGGCCACCTACAGGAGCCTCGGGGTAGAGGCCCGCGACCAAAGGAACCGGCGCGCGCAAGGTGCAAGAAAAGACAAGGGAGAGGGGTCACCATGGGGTCGCAAAACGCCCAAGGGACGTGGGACACCTCGGGGAAAGGCACCCGGGCCACGTGGGGACTAAGTAAAAATAATGACATCCGGCAAGACTAAGTGTCGGGGACCGCCGACGGGACTAAGTGTCCAGGACCACTGGCGGAACTAAGTGTCAGGGACCACCGGCGAAACTAAGTGTCGGGGACCAAGGACGGGACAAGCGGCGGGGATATATGAAAGTCCTAAGAAGAAACGGCGGTTCTGCATGAGGGAAAATAATAACGGCAAGGTGCACCGTCAAGATCGAGGTCTTGACGGCCAAGAATATTAGCAACAGTAGTGCAAGCACTACCAGTAGCAAATGAGAAGGCCGAAAAGAAAAGAAAAGGTAAAGAAACTTGAGGTGGGAGGCATGGGAGCAATCCGAAAAATCTCGGATCAGCCTCCCTCAAGAAAATGGAGTCAAAAGAGACCCCATGAGAAAAATAGTCCTCCGAGAGAAAATCGGAGTCGGAGGGGCCACTACCGGAGGAAAATAGGAGTGAGGGGAAGCTCCCATGAGCATGAGAAGGCCATTATTGCAGTCCGAGATATAACCGACTGCACTTTGGGCATAGGAAGGGCCAAAACTAAGAGGAAGAGGCTAGAAAAGGTTAACGGTTTCTTTTACTTCCAAAATCGCTCATGCTTCCCTTGCTTTTTTTTCCTCCATTGAACTGATCAATATGCGAACGGATTTTTCGTTTTCTTTACCCTTCTGTTTTGAAGTTCTCGATCGACGACAGATCAGATATGAAACCGGAACAGATAGTACACCTGATGGTGGGGGGATGATCGGGTTTCTCTCTCTCTCTCTCTCTCTCCCTCTCTCTCGTGCGCACGCAAGCGCGCATCTTGCACACATGCTTTTTTTTTTGACCATGGATCAGATAGTACACTTGATCGTTGTAGGGGGGGGGGGGAGACTGGCGCACCGTTAGTTAGACTGGGGTCTCCCTCTTTCCCTCTCGCTTTCTCCTTAGTCTCTCTCCCGCATCTTCTGCGTGCATGTTTTTTTATTTTTTCATTTTTAACCGTCTCAATGAAGCACGGAATCTCTCTCTCTCTCTCTCTCTCTCTCTCTCTCTCTCTCTCTCTCTCTCTCTCTCTCTTGCTCTCTCTTTTCTTTTTTAAAATAAAAAGGTCTCTATGGTCCACGAATCAGATATGACACAGAACGGAGCATCTCGCTCGCTCGCTCTCGTTCGCTCAAGCACGCAGGTGCTTTTT